TCAAAGCTAACTTTCGGTTGCAAGAGGGTAGAAACACGGTGAGATCGCAGATGCTGATTGGCTTGGAAAAGAGACCTAAATAAGTTTGGACATGGTTTTTTAAGACAGAGGTATCAAAGATCCAAACCCCTTGAGCATCTTTGAGGGTGGACACCCTCGATTTTCTACGCTTGGCAATCGTCGAGATGTGAAAAAACTTAGTATTACGATCCCCCAAGGAGATCCAATTAGATCTAGGCTTTTGGTACCACAATAACTCTTCTTGATATGGAATGGTATTAAACTCTTTAACAAGATCCTTTTCAAGAAGGAAAAAATTATGAGAATACTTAATGGATTGAGATTTTTGGATACCCTCAATTCACCGCAAAAGCCATCTCTTTTTTCGAAAAATGTTCCCAAAATGGGTTTTATTCCAAGAAATAGCATTTTTAGTAAGCAAAACCGTGGCTTCGGGAATCGAATTATGGCTAATACTCCAAGCTTCTTTAACAAGTTACTTAAAATCAGGATCAGTGAACCAGCAGCTTCCATACGGAAAAGCCTAGCTAAGGGGGTAAGAGATGACATACCTTGTGTGTACACAACCATAGGAGAGTGGTCTGAGTAGGTCTGAGGAAGATTACGAGCTGCCCCTTCAGTAAAAGCTAGGCGCCATTCAGAATTACAAGCTGCTCTATCGAGTCTCTCAAGGGCGTTAGCCATGCCTTGTCCTCATTACCAAAGTCACATTAACTTGTACTTTTTCTTTAAATCAAGCACTCATCAAAAAATGCACAGTAGTTGTCCCTGACTATGTCTTTTAGTCAGGTGATTGACTGGGCGATCGACTGGTGATGCTTTGTTTTGTGTCCATTTTATTCCAACAAGCGTAAAAGGGTACGTTTGGGATGTTTTCATTTTCTTTTCTTTTCCTTGAGTTATATTTTGTGTTTTGGTCAGTTATAGGCTCGATATTCAGTTCAAAACTCATTGAAATGCAACCATTTTCAATTTCAAAATTCAAAACAAAATAGTTTTCATGCTCAGTGTAGTGTCATTCATGCCATTCGGATTTGCAAAACAAAACTCTTCTAGTTAAATGTCAAGGATCAAACCCCGATCAAAGTGGTACAGAAGAGAGTTGAAACTATAAGTGCCCACTCCCAAGCAAAAATACATGGAAAAAAAAAAAGAAAAGAAAAGAAAAGCAAGATAAATGAGTGCTCTTGGATCACTGGCGGCAGCTCGACGATTGCAAACCGACGTCATTTGCAGATGCCTTCATTGCTAGAATCTCCGTCAATTGCCCCACCACATCTTCACAACTTTGCCCTTCAAATAGAGTAACAGTATCTTCAATTGCCCTTATTTGAAACGAGATTCAAAATTCAGGATCTAATATATCACAATTGAAAGATTAGAGACCAAAGTGAGACAAGTCCCAAGTTACAAGGACAGTTCATGTAGTTCGCCCATATATATATATTCATTTTAATTTATTCCCATTGAACGCGTCACTTGTAAATTTCTCTCTCTCTCTCTCTCTCTCTCTCTAAATATATGTATATTATTTTTTGTTTCTTTTTTTCCTTTGTCCTTTGATATTAAAAAGCTAAAATATAAATCTTTTTTGTGTTTGAATTGTGATATATATATATATATATATGGAAAAATTAATTTATAAATCCTATCTTAGGGAATGATGATCCATTTAATCTCAAGAATTTTCTTATAGACCAATTAGTCCCATTGATTTTTAAAATGAAGATTTAATATATTATTTGGAAATTGAATTTACGATTATACCCTTATTTCTAATATGTTTCTTTTCGTTATTCTTTTGTACTAGAAACGGAAGGTACATAATTTATGGGAATTAAATTTATGATTAATTTTTATATGTGAATCTTTTTTATTGGAAAAACATTTCAAAATGAGTATAAAAATGTCTTGAAATATGAGATATTTCAAACATTCCAAAAGGATATGAGATTCTTCAAACATTTCACATTTCAAAAGGAGTACAAAAACTCCTTAGTAAACTTTGAGCAAATGTATAATTTTAAACTGTAACACTCCAATATAACACTTCAAAAAAAATAAAAATAAAAAAATTAATCATTACTACATTTTCTCAAACGTAACACTCCAATATAAGACTCTAAAAAAATTCCTTAGTGTAACACTCCAATGTAATTCATGAGTACCAAATGTAACATTCTAATGTAACACTCCAAAAAAAGGATGTGAGATTCTTCAAATCATTCCAAAAAAAGTACAAAAATTCGTTTGAGGTTGGTTGGTTAGTGGATATAGGATCTTTCAAACATTCCAAAAGGATATGGGATTCTTCAAACATTTCAAAATGGGTACAAAAACTCCTTAGTAAGCTTTGGGCGAATATATAATTTTAAACTGTAACATTTAAAAAAAAAAAAATCATTACTATACTTTCTCAAATGTAACACTCCAATATAACATTTCAAAAAAATTCCTTAGTGTAACACTTCAATGTAATTCATTAGTACCAAATGTAACATTCTAATGTAACGCTCCCAAAAAAAGATGTAAGATTCTTCAAACCATTTCAAAAAGAGTACAAAAATTCATTAGTAAGTTTTGGGTAAACTACATTAAAGAGATTTTGTAAAACTCATTGAGTACTATATCTTTGTAAAAGATTACGTTGATCAGATATCGATAGTTATTTGATCGGATCAGAATTCTATCAGCTATTTCTTTTTTCATCGTTTATTTTTTTAATACAAATCTGATCTGAGCAAATAATTATCAATATCTTATCAATATAATTATTTACAAAGATATAGTACTTAATGAGGCCTAAACATTAAACGGTTCAGATTATCAAAATGAAATCTAAAAATAAATCCATAAACTAAATTAAATGAGTCAAATTTTAATCTCCAAATGGAACAAGATGGACCTATCAATAATAAGCTTCATTTGACCAAGTGAACTATTAAAATGGAGGCCTGACCAATTAGACCTTGGCACCCAAATCGAAAAGTTTGCTTAACAATAACTGTATGAGAAATAATCCTTTTATTTATAACTACTTTTGTAGTTTTTTGCATTATACACACTACATTATAAACACTTCTAGCGCTGTTTGTTTGGGGTTATAGGAAGAAGATTGAGATTATTAATATTTTGGTATTATTAATACCTTATTTGTTTTGAGAGATAGGCTTAGAACTAATAATACCTTAGTATTACTAATACCTTTGAAAGGGAGATTTATAGTGAGGAAGTAGAGATGGTATTAGAAAAATAATGAGGGGATTAGAAATTTTTTTATTTTTTTTTATTTTTTATATATTAGGAATTTTTTAAAAAATATTAATGTTTAATTTTTATATTTTTTTATTTATTTTATTATTTTATATGAAAATAATTTAACAATTTCTCATTATTAATTTCCTCACTATCAAGCCCCTCACTATCAATCTCTTACATTCTACCTCTGAAAACAAACGAACCCTAGAACTTTATGAGCATGTTTGTTTTGAGGAATAAGAGGGTGGGATTGGACTATTAGTCCCACCGGACTAATAGTCCATTGTTTGTTTGAAAAATTTTGCTCCGGACTATTAGTCCCACAAATATGGAACTATCCTATTCCATGGGGGATGGGATAGAAACCATAGGATTGGTATCCCATGGGATTATTTTGTGAAATATCCATTTTACCCTCCATGCTATTACTTAGTAAACAATTAGAAAAGGGTAAAATAGTCTTTTGAACATTTATAAATTATTTTTTTAGTGTTGTTAATTTAAAATTATATATTAAATAAAAAATTTAAATTATAAATTATATTTAATTAAAAATAATAAATTAAAAATTAAGTCGACCTTAATAAATTAAATTTTTTTAGTGTGGTTTAAAAAATTAAATTTTAACATATTAAACTAAATTT